TGTGTGGCTTGTAGTGATCTTTTATTTTCTTTTTAAGTGAACTTTAAAGGGCCCATATTCTATATATTTTTTTGTTTGTTTTTTTTCACTGAGGTATGGTGTAGCATCCCAAAACATTTTCATTACAATTTTCCACCTTTTTATAGGCTGAAATACGCAAGGCCTTCTCTGCAAGAGATGTTGTCTGGAAGGGAGCATATGTAGGCACTAATGCAACCCCGTACTATCAGAGATGCAGGCTTCTGAACTGCACGCTGATAACAAGCTGGATGGTCCCTCTCTTCTTGAGTCAGCAGGACACAGCGTCCATGGTTTCCAAAAAGAATTTCAAATTTTGATTCTTCTGACCACAGAACAGTTTTCCATTTTGCCTCAGTCCATTTTGAATGAGCTTTGGCCCAAAGAGGATGGCGGCGTTTCTGGATCGTGTTGACATATGGCTTCTTCTTTGCATGATACAGCTTTAACTTGCATACAACGATTTCTCCAGATTCTCTGAATCTTTTGATGATATTATGTACTGCAGATTATGTACTGCAGATGATGGGATATCACAATTTTACGTTGAGGAAAAGTTTTCTGAAATTGCTCCAATTTTTAGACTGTTTTTCACAGAATGGTAAACCTCTGCCCATCTTTGCTTCTGAGAGATTCTGCCTCTCTAAAATGCTCTTTTTATACCCAGTCATGTTTTTATTAGCTGTACTGCTCCTCTAGCTGAATTTATTAGTACCATTTTTGCAGCATTTTGTTGCCCCTGTCCCAACTGTTTTGAGATGCGTTGCTGCCATCAAGTTCAATGAGTTAATGTTTTTCATGAAATGGTAACATGTCTCACTTTCAACATCTGATATGTGTTCTATGTTCTATTGTGAATGAAATATGGGTCTATGAGATTTTCAAATCATTACATTACGTTTTTATTTACATTTATTTACATTTTAGCATCACAAATATTTTGGAATTGGGGTTGTATATTGGCCCTTTAACCTCTTAGTTAAAGCAAGAAACAATTTGTATCATTACCCCACTGCATGCTGCAGATTATGCGTCTTACATAAAGTCCTCAGGCGATAGCAGTTCCTCTCTATGGCTCAGCATTTCCGCAGGCCACTCAGTCAGACAGGGTGTGATTGTTTCTCCCGCCGAAAGCAGCCGCCCGTCTCCACTCAGCCTAATCAAAGGGGAATAAAGCCAGAGGTGTGCTTTTTGATCAGGCTAATTTGTGCTAGAGATTAGCAAAGCGCCGTGGTGGCCTAGCATGGGCTGGAATACCAATAGGACCATCTACACGGATCATGCTTTAGATAAAGGGCCATGCCAGCGTCAGTCTGGCTGCTCTTTTCCACTCATTCATTCCATTTTCTCTCATATCCTTTTCCCTTGATCGCTTTATTGGAGACCGCATGCTGTTCTATCTGCCTTTCGCTCTGATTCTATTTCTCTTTTCTCTTTACTCTCTCTCTCTCTCTCTCTCTCTCTCTCTCTCTCTGGAGATCATACACTTATGAGCTCAGTCTTGCTTGAAGTGGGTTGCTCTTCACTCTCAGCGTCTCTCGCCCTGCTCAGCAATGATGAAGCGAAAAAGCAAGAGATTGCCACTGCAGGCCCATCTCTTATCTAACGCACACTGAACGTGAGATACTCAAGAAGGAATAAAGAAAGAAGGAATAGCAAAAGATAATGTTACTGCTATGAAGGCAAATATCTTATTGCAACTATATAACTAGTATCATCATTACAATGGAGAGATTGAGTTACCTGTGCAACAGAAATGACTCAGAAGAGGAGGACATCAAGCTGAAAGTTTGCAAGGTAGCTACCTGGTTATCTAGGTAACTTACCTCAATTTGATTTGTTTCTACATCCAGGTATGTGTCTTTGATAAAGACAAAAGTTATCTTGTTCAACAACGGAGGTGAGGGTTACATGATTGCCAGCTTGGGTATGTTTATTAGCCCGTTGATCAGTGGCTTGGCTAGCAGTCAGATTGGTTGATGGTTCACGGATTCCCACCGGTTTCATCGTGTCATGTTGTTGTATGATGTACTGCATGCTGGGCATTGTATTGAGTGAACATTGATGAATGAAAACATAATAACCATAAATTCTGTTAAACCAGTGACACTGAGGAATGCAATGCTGCGCTACCAAATGTTATAAAAGACTACTAATAATGTTAATTGCTAGTTTAAGGCCCAAATGTCGCTACCATAAGAAAAGTTGCTCTTCATGTTGTGTGAAATTTGTGAATTTATGACAAATGGATAAATAGAAAACCTACAATGAATGAGGTGAAGCAGATTATATGTGTTAAAAAGCTTTATTGTTGGGAATTCAAGTGTCAGACTCATTGTAACAGTCTAACCACATAGGCATAACCACATAGGCACAAGGGATGATACTAAACTAGTAAAAGAGCAGCAGAAACAAAACAGAGCCCAGAACCATGAGAGAATTTCACAAAGCAAGATTTTTGTCTTAGCCAGATAATTTAAGACCAAAGTTGAGGATTGTCTAGTGTCCCTTAGCTCTTTTCTTAATGGACAGGCTTAACTTTAGGCTTAAGTTATGTGGTTAAACTACAAAATCCTGCTTTGTGAAATATCCCACATAGCTAGACTGTGCTAAACACAATACAGGGCTTCACAATGGTTCACAAAACAAGATTGAAAATGTCATATCTATTGCCTAACTTGCAAACCCCAGTTGCTTTTTACATATCGTGAAAGTTTCATAGTGAATGGACTAATATAAATGGTTTAAAATTACTCTTTTTACATTAACTTCCATTATAAGTTAAGAATGTTTTTTTTTCTTCTTCTAAAAAAAAAAAGTTACCATTTTGGAGTAATTAAGTTTTGTTCAAACAGTGACAATATGCTAAATAATATGCAAGAAAGGTAGTATGAAGGTAGTATATATGAATACTAAGGTAAATGGAGCTGGAATGAGGCAGATATAATCACTAGATACAGGTGATGGGCAGAGCTGGATTAAGCATGGAAACCAAAACAAAAACAAAAGCACATGGCTGGAAGACCCTGGGTGTCACAGCATGAATCCAAGAGGAGAAGCTTGTGACAAAGCCTTTCAAAAAAAAAAAGAAAAGCTAACATTTAACCCCCTCTTTTCAATGAAGTTCTCATTTGGGAGATAGATGCTTTCTTTTGATAACAATGGCAAAACTGCAATTTGCTAATACTATGGGTTCTGCACTCAGCTTCATGTTAATCTAAGCAATTCCCTTGGTATAAAATATAATTTTAAATAATGATTTGATAGTTTTCTTTCCATACTATTGGTAAAAGCACATATTGAAAATTTGCTAGTGGTTTAAAATGCTTCAGCACCCAAAAAACTTTTGAGTGCTGATGAGTGACATACAAGAGAATAGCATGTAGGGTATGGGGTTATTCCCAATGTAGGCAGTGTCAGCTATACCTTTAGATCTGAGGTTACTGCAAAGAAAATGGCAAGATCCAAATACACTATATGTCCAAATGTTTGTGGACACCCCTTCTTGTCAGTGAATTCAGCTGCTTTAAGGTGCATCCACTGTTGACACAGGAGTTCAATTACAGAGACAGCTTGTATAATATCCACAGACAAGCACTGACCAATAAAATGGGACACTTTTTAGCAACCACACATGAGGTCATCATGCCCAATGCCAAACATGGGCTTGAGGGGTATAAAGCCCCCAGCATTGGGCTGTGGGACAGTGGAACTATGTTCCCTGGAGTGATGAAGCTCCATCCAATACTTTTGGGATGAGTTGGACTTACCAAAACCTAACATCAGTACCTGACCTGACTAATGCTCTTGTGGCATGAGCAAATGTCCACAAACTTTTGGCCATATAGTGTAGCTTTCTGTTGAGTTTTGTCACTGTCAGGACAAAACGTCTTATCTCCATTTTGGCAATGTGGTTGTTTTTGCCTAAATTTAAACAACCAGCTGCTCCTTAAATTGTGTGAAAATTTTGTAGTGAACCAACAAATACAAATGTCACTGAAAAAAATCTTTTTACATTAACTTCTGATTTAAATTAAGTATATTTTTTCTTCTCCTGAAAAGTTATAATTTTGGAAATAGAAGGTTTTGTTCAGACAGCCATGATATAATAAATAATATGCAATGATTTGTGTCTCCAAACAGTGCCCTGTATGATGGCTAATCATAAGGTCATATTATAGGACTATATCAGAGATTTTTGTTTTTATATATATCATTGAAACACAACAGTGTCTACTATACTGCATAATATCTGTTGAAACAGGAATAGCTCAGAGCACAGTTTTGTATGCCTTCACCTTTATTTATACTGACCTCTGTCCTGCTTTCTGACCCTAAGGCTTTTGCCAGGTGTGAAACATTGCACATTGTCCTCTTCGTCTGCTTTCTATGTGACCTCCACCTGTGCATATCTTAAGTGTGGATTCTTCACCTGTTTTTATACACCTTTAATTGCTTTTGTCAATGTAATTCAGAAATGTGAAAAATATCTCAGTACATAGTTTATTCATTAAGCGTCTTTATAAACATGCTTTCACTCTCTGAAATGTATCTACACCGCAAGATGAAACCAAGAGCAAAAGATTTCTCCACTACCTCAAGTTAAAGTAACAGTTTGGTGAAGAATTCACAGTTTTACCCTGACCTTTAGTCCATTTTGTTTTACCCTTTTGTGTGTTTCTGATGTGATTCCACGCTTACATCTCTATCACGTAACTCATTCATCAAGAACTTTTCAGAGAAGCCATGATATTGCTCTTCTCATCAATAGGCGCGAACTTTTGTGCATCTGTTGTCTTAATTTAATTTGATGAAGTAGTTTACTCCTTCCATCTGGGGAAAAGTGAATATCAAATAACAAACAGGCCAAGCTCAATAAATGCTCCCCTCCAGTGCATTTAAATTAGAGAGATGGGCCGCTAATTGCCTCTGTTGCCGATTCTAGGCAATGATCGAGCTTTGTGTGCATGTGTGTTTTGCAGATGTTAATGAATGCGAAAGAGATCCATGTAAAAATGGAGGGATCTGCACCGATCTGGTGGCTAACTACTCCTGCGAATGCCCGGGGGAGTACATGGGAAGAAACTGCCAACATAGTAAGTATAAAAGTTTTTTTGTACAAAATATTAATTTGCTGGAACACTTTTCTTCACCAAACTTAAGTTTGTCTTTGTTGATATTGTATCATTAGTCTATGGTTTTGGGTGCACTGTGACATGCTGACTCGATCATGATTAGCAAGGCTAACCTAGCTAGCACATAGCAATGTAGTCTATTCTGAAGTAATAGGTATACTGGAACTAACTGACTTGACCATGGCTAGTAAGACTAGCCTAGCTAGCACATAGCAGTGTAGTCTAGTCTGAAGTAATGGGTATACTGGGACTAGCTGCTAGAAAAAACAATACAGACCAGCTACTCACCAGCCAAACCAGCATATCATTGTTGTCAGAAGAAAACCTCGTATCTCTAAAATGATAACTTTACAGGAGAAGGAAAAAACCTACTTTACTTTTAATGTAAGTCAGTGGAACCAGACTTTTTTCCAAGTCATTTTGGGCCAGTTGTTTTGGTCCATTCATCATGGAATTTACATACAGTGTAAAGGCATTTTCAAATTATGTCAAAAACTGAAAAAACAACAAAAATGGAGATACAAGGTTTTCTTCCAACAGCAGCGATATGTTGTGTTTTGGATGAAGATATGCTGGTCATACCATCCTCATAATACCATATTCCAAAAGCAAATGCATTTCTCTTTGCTGAATGGAATATATTGGGGGAAAAAAAGAAAAAAATAAATATAAAACATCCTGTAAAACATTCTGTTTTTTTCCTCATTTTACTGCAAACTTATGGCTTATTTGCTTATTTTAACACGTTGTGGAAAAAAATTGACAAACAAAAAACAAAATGTAGCCTGTGCAAAAGTTGTGGCACATTTAGATTTTATGTTTCTTTTTTTCCAATCTGTTAAACCTAGCAAATAAACAGAACTTGCCATGTTTAAGAATTTATCCATCCAAACTTTTGCATACAACTGTACATTTGCATATTACTTAGACTACACAGCGAGATTGTTTAGCACATTTGCAAGAACATTTCAAAGACATTCAGTTCAGTTAAAGAGTGAACAAACTCGCAGTCTTTCACACACACACACACACACATTCCAGTGGAGCTGCCATTCCACATTGAACAAACAGGACTCATCTGTCATTTAGCCTTTGGTGCCACTCTTGTTGATGGTCATATCAAGGCAAGCTTACTTGACGGCTACATTACATGCTGCTATTTTTGTACAATCCAACTGAAGTGGTAGCATGAAATAAAAAATAAATAAAAAATCTGAGAAGGTTTTAACATGTTCAAAGGCATTAATGACAAGCCTTTGCCTTTTAATCATCACATTTGGGCTATGCTATGCGTATCCATTGTGCTATTTGCTATATTTAGAGAGATGGGGATAGGGGAACAAAGAGAGAGTGAGGAAGTGAGAAAGATAGCTTAAGAGAGAGAGAGAGAAAGAGACAGAGAGAGAGAGAGAGATAAATGTCCTCTCCCCCAGAAGAAATGTCTTATCACAACGAATCAGAGAGGATATTAGTTTTCTGGAACTTATTTGAGATAGCACCAAGCATTTATTAAATAAGAGACAAGGCGTCTACATCTGCCATCAAGATTTGCCATTATTACTATACAGATTGAGAACAATTTAATTTTGCCTTTAGAACAGCAGCTAACGGTACACAGTTCATCACCCCCGTTCAATAAACACATTCAAGCCTTTACCGAATGTTACCATGGCATTATCGCGTTCGGATCGCGCATGCATATTCATGAAGAGCTTTAACACCTTGTGTTGGAAACTCTCGAGGAGAGGTAGCACCTGCTCAGGATGGGGTTGACCTAAGCCCTGTCAGGGAGCTGTGCTCTCCGCACTGCTAAAATCGATCGCGGCTAAATTCCAGCAGCCAATTTGACTGGCACTTTCTCTCTCCCGGTTTCACCTCTTTTGTCATGTGAAATCTCTGCCACCTGCTCCGCTCTCTATAGCTGCCTGGCACTCCGAATCACTTGCATGGTGCAATTCCAAATCCCTCACTTCTTTGTTCGAGAGCGAAGGCGACGCGGCTTCCTCTTGAGAATGAAATATGCAAATTTCAGGGTAGAATAGAGCCCATGTGCAAGTAGTATTTCGAGGCAGTACCCAGGGAGTCTCGCTATAGCTTATGCTCAACTGAGTTGGAGCCATTCGAAACAGTCCGACTTGCAAACAAACGGATCTTGAATAAATGAATCGGCAATGCAGGGCTCCATAGGAAAACATGCGGTAGATCCCTTTATCACAACACACCATTTTTTGCTTTCCTCTAGCTGTTAAAAGTACACTGTAAAAAAGAAAATAAATTATATATAAAGAAAATGTACACTATTAAATATTTATTTTAATAGTTTTTGTCATTATTATTATGGCAAAATACACTATGTCAGAATAAATATTTGAACTAAAAAATAACTGTAATTTTACAGATATTTACCATCAATGAGAAAACATATTTTTACTCTTAATTAAGGTGTTTTGTCAGCAAACCCTGCTGCTGGACTTTTTATCATTTTACACTGTATGTTGGGGTGGAGCAATAAGCAATTTTGAAATCTCTATAAATGTGGACACATTAACCATCAACATTAATCCTCTAATTATTCAACACCACCAAAATTTCACAGTGTAATGTTTAGCATGTCTATAACAGTTTCCATCTTCACCAGAGGAGGTGACAAAGCTTTAGTCACAAAGACTAAACATTCAGCCTAAATTGATGCCAATGTGAATCAACAATCATGGCACATTTCCCTGTCAGTCCCTTCTGTACTGTAAAGCATTTTGGAGGTAAACACTTTCTTAGGGGAATGGGGTCTCTGAGATCTCTTTCACAGAGGAGAAACATAATATTGTTGGTTAACAGTACTTTACTCCACCCACTGGTGCATGGTGACATAATCAAGAAACAAAAGACATTTTGGAGGTGGGCAAAAGTCGTCACATTTTGATGGAAGATTATGAGAAAACAAGACTTTTGTCTTTTAACTGATATGAGGTTATGTTTAAATTAGATGATAAGATCAATCATGTTTAATATGACCAGGGCACTGGTGGCCGTTTTTGAAAGTAATGATTGTATAAAGTCTCCTACACCAAAGATATTGCATTGTCACTGTAAGTTAAAACAGAGAGGCTTTGTGAATGAAGATGCACCGCATATACACTGAGCTGTAGAAAGAAACTGGCAGTGTGTGTGGTGTGAGCGATGAAGAACGTGATTCTTTTTTTAATTCAGTGTTCATATTAGCAGGTCAGAGCTTTCACAGTGAAGCACTCAGTATTTAGAGAAAAGGTGTTGAGCCTGATTTTTATGAATTATGAACGTAGAAATAAACTATGCAAATCAATTAAACTGAAACAGAAAACCAAAGAAAAAACTTCAAAAATGAAATTATTCAATTCATGGCCATTATTAAATGAAACACTATTTCATGCTGTGTGCACAGATCTCTCCCAGTAGGTTTACTAAGCTTGAAACAGTTTTCTAATCACAAGTCAAAAAGCTGTTGTGGGTGACCAAATGTATCATGCTCTTTTACAAATGATTTTTTATTGAGTGAATAATGATTTGACTACTCATTCATTTGAAAAAAGAATGTCTGTAGAACTTGCTTGCTGGACTGATCTGCAGCGCAACAATCTGAGTGAATGACCAACATGTGGCAGCCAAACCCACCACCTTTCACTATCAACATTATGCAATTACTGTCTTTCTACACTATAAAACAGCCTTTAGTTTGTCAGAAAAAGTCTGTCACTTGAAGCAGACCATTCAGTTACTTTTTATGTGAACATTTTTTACTTATTATTGCCTTTTTTCAGTTTATAAACAGACATGTCTGTTCATTTAGAAGTGTTTTGTGAAACAGTTGTCAGGTTTTTAAAAACACCCCCAATAAAACTCCAATTGCATCAACCAAACACAGATAGTCAGCAATGTTGTGTTCTCCTGTGCGTTTGGAAGCTGTCATGCATAGTAATGTGTGTGTATATATATATATACACACACACACACACACACACACTGTGGGGAAATCAGAGTAGTGTCACAGGGGTTTCCAATCCCAGTAACACAGAGGTTCCCAATCCTCAGGAGTTCCAAATAATAGTATCAAATAGGTTTCCAAATCCCAGTATCCCCATCACAGGGATTTCTAATCCTAGTATCTCAGGAGTTCCCAATCCCAATATCACAGGGATTCCCAATCCAAGTATCTCAAAGGTTTCCATACACAGTATCACAAAGGTTCCTAATCCCAGTATCACAGCAGTATTTAAATCCTAGTAAGACAGGGGTTCCAAATCCAGGTATCACAGTAGTTTACAAACCCAGCATTACAGGGTTTTCCAATCCAGCTATCAGAGTGGTTTCCATTTCCATTATCACAGGGCCTCCCAATTACAGTATCACAGGGTTTCCCAATCCCAGTGCTGTTGACTCCATGCTTTCCACATTTTTGTGTTTTGCATTCATTGGTTCATGAGTTGAATCAGGTGTGTAAAATGAGACAAAACACAAAAATGTGAACTGGGGATTATCACAACATGCTGATTAGACAAATAGTATATTTCAGAGATTTTTTGCCTAGTTTTACATTTGAATTGCTGAATTGGCCCCCTGATGTAGGTCCCCCCTCTTGTCAGACCAGAGACATGAACTAATAAGGTAAAAAAAACAGTCAGTATCGATTTCAAAATGACTTTAAGAAAGGACAGTACTGTCATACTTCAAATGGCATTTTTACCAGCATATAAGCATGTTGATAATTACTGATAAACTGATAATTAGTCCTAGTTTTGCTTTGGATTTTTTTTTTCTGTGTAAGTATCTAATTATTGCTATAATAATGCTAATTTTAGCTAGATATGGGATTTAGTCTCTATGATGTGGTGTAGGATGTGTGGTGTCATTATTTTGACACTATTATTAGAGGAGGCTGTTAGCGTATTGAAAGAATAGTTTTTGAAAGAATAGCTGTTTGTACTTTT